GGGGGCGCCTTGGGGGGGTTCAGAAACCTTGTGGGGGAGCCTTGAGGGATTGCGACATGGGGGTCAGAAACCATGTAGGGGGTGCCTTGGGGGGAGGTCAGAAACCTTGTGGGGGAGCCTTGAGGGATAACGACACGGGGGTCAGAAACCTTGTAGGGGGCGAATGCTCCCTCCCGTGTGGCCACGATGATGCCTTCGCAGAGCTATGCTCCTCCCGTGTCGCTATCCCTCAAGGCTCCCCCACCCAGTAGCACCCCGTGGAACAGTGGACTCCCTCCATCTAGCCCACTAAAGATCCCATGTATGGTATCTGCTCATGTAAGTACTGTGCCGGGCTAGGAGACGAGCACATCGGGTGTGACCCTTGCACCAACTGGACTCACGCAGGAGGGGGTGAGGGTCGCCCGGAGTCGAACCCACCACCTCTCCCATGCGGCTCCAGAGATCTAACCAAGTGAGAACGAGCAGGCTCCTTGTCATTCTGAGGGTGCCTCCAGGGTTCTTTATAATTGCTCAGTAGGCGTTCGCGTCACCTTTTTCCTGCCTGTTCTATTCTAGTATCTTGGGCCTTGGGAGTTTTCGTTGTATCAGTGTATCCAGTATCTTGGGCCTTGGGAGGAGCCTGTGTATTTTTTTGACATGCAGTGTGCCCTTTTCAGTGTGAGAATGCACACCCCAGAAAAATGGTTGGAGGAAGATTTGATTATTCGCTCTTGGGCTGCCGCCAGCTCACCACGTGAGTTTTCGCACTTGGGATTCTGATGCGAAATTTATTCCGAAAACGCAACTTCTTTCCAGCTTCTGAAGTGTGGCCACTTCTCAAGGGTGTAGCCACTTTTTTGTTGGGGTGTCGGCCTCTTTTGTTTTTGGGGTGTGGGCCGTGTTGCCACCTTTTTTTTCTTTCTTTCTTCTTCTTTTTTTAGCTTTTTTTTCCCCCAAATAATTTGGATTGTTTCTCGATTTATGCGTGTCATCCTTGTGCAGGGGCCATGCTAATCAATCTTCTCTGTATAGTTCCAATTTTGATGGATGTCCCCAAGTACTGGCCACCTTTCGTCCTGGGGTGTGGCTGCCTTTCTTACTGGGGTGTGGCCACTTGTTTTCTAGGGTGTTGCCACTTGTTTTCTAGGGTGTTGCCACCTTTCTTCTAGCCTTCTAGGTTGTTGCACTTTTTGTTCGGCTGTGTGGCCACGGTTCTTGGGGGTTGGCCAGTTCTCTGGGGCGTAGGTCACTTTTTGAAGCTTAATTCAGTTGTCGCCTAGGCTACCAGAGTGGGCCAGGACCACTTGCCCGGCAGGGCCAACAAAAAAAAAAAAGAAAAAAAAAAAAGATAAAGATTGAAAGAATGTCGATTAGTCCAATGACAATACCTCAAGGCCATCGCCCTTTACACAAAAAAAAAAGAAAAAGAAAAAAAAAGAATGTCGATGTGACCCTGAGGCAGCAACAGTTCAATTTACCAACTGGCCTAGCTCAGTTGGTACACCCCGCCTGGACTGAACTGTTGAAAATTGAAATACAGACCCGAGTTCGAACTCCACTGGAAACAGAGGAGTAATAAACCACAAGTGACAATTCTGAATTACGGTTCAATAATCTCAATTACCCGAGGCGGGTCAGTTCGATGATCATTAAAAAAAAAAAAAAANTGTGTGTGTGTTTTTTTTTTTTTTTTTTTTTGACAAAGCAGAAGAACTACATAAAACAGGCCACTTTGAAGCGGATGGAAATGGACGAGGAGCAGATCGGCGACTTCTTTAAAGGCGAAGGAGGCATGAACCCCAAGGCACGTGCCCGTACCATTCTTAGCAGATAACTCAGAGTCGAAATCATCTCTGCACTGAACTTGGGCGTTCTTTGAAGCCAAATGCATCCAGGAAAATCTTAGTGTGAACAAGTCCTTAGTTCGTTCTTCTTAATGAGAACAGAAGTCAAAGAGATCCGTTCCGCCCTCATCTCTTCGCTGCTTCCCTTCTCATATATCCAAAAAAAAAAAAAAAAAAAAAAAAAAGATGAGAGCATACGGTGGAAGATATGAACCATTGGAATCACTGGGGCAAGGTCCCACAAGGACGTGCATCAAGGCATGAATGTGGACGTGATTGATCTGCGTTTCTGCATCTCTGCTCAAAACCCATCCAGATTCAGGCGCTTGCTCCAATCCTGCTTTGCTAGTGGGACCTTGCTCCTGGATTTTCTTATGGGGCAGACGGCTCGTACTACCTTGTTTTACGACAGCAGCCTAGCGATCGATAGGTGCGCTGCGCCGCTCTTGGTCTGGTTGTGTACACAGTCCGGAAACGGGAAGGAGAGCCTAAATCGATGGACTCAAAAAAAGAGCACCTTCGACTGAAGACATAACAGACTGCAGCTTCACACCCCATCATAAGCCAGCAACTCCCCCACAAGGGGAGTAAAGGGGGGGGTGGGAGGACCGGTTAGGCAATACATCGGGATGATCAAATATGGTCAGGTGCTGACGGGCCTGTCATATGCCTGGTAGCTAGCCTCTACAAACAACCTGGACTTCAAAACTGAAAAAAAAAAAAAAAAAAAAAAAGAAGTGTCTGTCACAGCCACAAAAAATAAACTCCAGAGTCCAGACACACCGCTGGCATACCTATGATCCCAAGGCGTGTATGTGGTCTATTTTTCTTTATTATGCTTTTTTATAGTTTTTTTTTTAAATCTTTTTAAAGTTTTTATTATACACGGTATCTATTCCTTTCACCATGAATTCTCTCGCTCTTTTTTTTTTTTTTTTCTGATATTAAACTGATCAGAACAGATACTACACTCGATCTTAGCCAAAAGACCGAGATATCTCGATGAACTTACTTCCTTTTCTTTTCTTTTTTAATAAACACAGAGCCTTGAAGGTTCTGCCTCCATATCCATTCTGGGGAGCCTCTCTAAAATGGATGTCATGTTCGCTCGCTTCCTCCCCTCCCCCCCCTCCTCTCTCTCTTTAATAATTTGGACCGTTTCCCGATTGATGTGTGATAGCGTCTCATCCTTGCGCATGGGCCATCCCAAATCTTCTTTCTCTCTGTGTCGTTCCAATTTTTATGGTTGTCCCGACAAAACTCCTTTCCGTCTTTTTAAATTGTTCGAAAAGTCATTTTGCTTTCTTCTAGCGTCTGAAACTGCGGAGGGAAAGAAAGAAAAAGCAAACTATGGGCAGCCCCCTTTCTTTTTCTTTTTTTTTTGTGTGTGTGTGTCTCGTTCGCTTATTAGACCCCACACATCCCACCTCTCGATATTCCCGGGGTCCACCTGCGCTCCTCTTCCATCCTACCTCGAATTGAGGACCCGCCTCAGTCTCTCCGACTGAGGGACCTGACCCGACAGCAGTCATGGGCAGCAGTGCTGACTGGGAATTTGGGAAACCTCCTTTCAGCCCCGGTAGAGGCATCGTCGCATGAACCTCGTTGTACGGGTACCTAGGGAGGTAGAGGTGAATCTAGTGCCACCAGCGCGGTGAGTGGATCACGAACCAGGACCTAATCACAGCTTAGTGGTAATCTGTTCCTGTCAAACCATGCTTAGAGTAGACCTGTGAGTAGACCGTAGAATGTGCCGCTTGTCCAGGGGCTGAATATATGGCCAGTAGACCTCGGCGTGATGGCCACTAGACACTGCCAGGGTCCATGCTTATTCAGGGGTCCATGCTTAGGAAGGAAATCCCTTCAAATGACCCCTGGCAGTGTCTAGTGGCCATCACGCCAACGCCCAAGCTATGATACTCCTACGCTAATCACTTCCCGTGCTTCAGAAACTCCCGCAAGCTACCCTGGGCAGTGTGTAGTGGCCATCAGGCCAAGGTCTATAACCTATGGCAGCCGTACTATGTAAGCGTACTTCCTCCCTACCTAGCACAGTTGTATTCAGCATCGATCCGTGTATTATTAGACTGTGTAGGTCAGCATGGCTCTGTACAGACTGCACAGGTCTGTAATCTGATATATATATGCGATTGAATATCTTGTCTGCCTGCACTGCAAGTTCTCGGCATTAGTCAGCCTTTGCTGCACTGCGCTGTCGATCCTCAGGATCAGTCGGCATGGCTCCAGTCACGGTCCTCAACGGCTCCGGCTGTTTTGTGTCGCCAACTGCTCCCGCTTTCCAGTCTCGGTCCTCGAGGGCGGGTCACATTATCTCCGTCATCGAGCGGAGCTCTACCATCTTAATCACTGCATTCTTCCTAATGGCAGATATCACTGCATACTAGAATATCCGCAGGTCCGTCTTTCTAAGCTATCTTCGTCATCGAGCAGAGCTCTACCATCTTAATCACTGCATTCTTCCTAATGGCGGATTACTGCATACTCGAATATCCACAGGTCCATCTTTCTAAGCTATCTCCGTTATCGAGCCGAGCTCTACCATCTTAATCACTGCCTTCTTCCTCATGGTGGATACCACCGTGTACTAGAATATCCATGGGCCCGTCTTTCTGAGCTATCTCTAAACCCTGCAGGAACTACCCTGTCACCCGTGCACGGTTGGGGCTCACGCCTGCTGGCCAAGAGGTGTGGACTGCACAAACCCCACCCTCCTCCTCGCGATTCATGGTAGACTGCACAGCATTCCCCCCCTACAAGGTTTATGACCCCCTCCCGGGGAGCCTTGAGGGATAGCAACATGGGAGGGAGCATAGTTTCTGACCCCCTCCCGGTGTGGATAGCGGCACGGGTGTCAGAAACCTTGTAGGGGGTGCCTCGGGGGGGGGGGGGGGGGGRGCCTCGAGGGATAGCGGCACGGGGTCAGAAACCTTGTAGGGGGCGCCTTGGGGGGGTTCAGAAACCTTGTAGGCTGTCTCTTATACACATCTAGATGTGTATAAGAGACCTCCCTTCCTCCGGGATCCGAAATGCATGTTTTTGGTCATCTCCCGATACCCTTGCATAACCCAGCTCAGCCTCTCCCCCTCAACCCCCCATTGCCTACCAATCCACGTGTGCTCCCAGACATGTCCTAGGTCCTAGTTCAGTTGATCATGTCCGTGTCAGGTGTCCGCCTACCATATGCATGCCTGGACGGACATCCTGTGTTCCTCCGGTGCCTGTTAGGTATTGGTGGATTGCACAGACAGTCCGCATTGCTGCTACGGTAGAAACACACAAAATCGTCGTCACCGGACATATCACAGCCTGCAACAATGATTTACGCCACAGAGCCACCCAGCGTACTCAGGGTGCACACGATACATAGCTTCGACAACTGCTAGCTGCTCTAAGTGTCTCTTTCCATCCCACACGACTACCCATATCGCCTCTCTGAAGTTCACAGTGGCGATACTGTCCTCGAGGTTTCTCGCCGGCGTGGAGGATGGTGCCAACCGTTTGGAAATGCTGAACCGACGTTCTTTTATGCCACCTGTATTTTCATTTCCACGGATCGTTAACTGCTGGACATGCCAAGCTTACTTTAGTCTCTGTGCAGTTTTCTTGTACTACAGCTAAATCTTGTATGTGAGACTTTTAAAATTGAACCCCCCCCAGTCCCAAATCACTAAAGCGCGCCCCGGTCCCGATTGCGTCTTTTTTTTTCCACTTGGCTGGACGGACACCATCCTGCTTTATATGGTGTTTTTTTTCTTTTTTTTTCCTCTCTTCCTTCATCTTTTTGTAGTTTTTTCTATTCTTTTTTTGAAAAGGGGGACGGCCTTGAGATGTCATCATTGGACTGACACACCCCAGGTCATTCAGGATTATTTTTTACTCTGTTCATCTGATTGCATCTGGATTTGAACCTTGGGCCCGTATCTCAACCGTTCATGGGTGTCCCAACTGAGCTAGGCTCATTGGTCATATATATCGTGTTTTCCATCCGGACTGATTATCTCTTTTTTTTTTTCCCCCCTTAAATTACGTTTTTCAGTCGGATGAACTGCCACATTCCTTCTTCTTACCATGTCTTTTCCCCTGTCCCCGGAAGGTTGTCCCGTATGCGCTGAGCTTCACCCATTTCTCTGCTCAGCAGGAAGTGTCGATGAGGTTTCAATGAAGTTATCCTGGGAATGTACGGTATGAGACTAGGAAGATCGAGGGGAGCAGGGGAGGGTTTTCACAACTTTTCGGTCATCTGCTGACTTCTGTAGAGTTTTCAAGTGGGTTGTTTGACTTGCTGCAGCTGCTGTCTCTTATACACATCTAGATGTGTATAAGAGACAGGGCAATAAGATCCTTCTTCCGTGCGTCGTCGATCGAATGCACGGGAGGTACTTTCTTGCTAAAGTACTCGGCTGGGTGCCAGTCCGAGCCATCGTGCTGCTCAAGGACGGCCCCAATGCCATAGCCCGACGCATCGGTAGTGACGCGCTAGAAGCGGGTCGTAAATATGTAACACCTCGGCGGATAAGAGTGCCGCTTTGAGTGTTTCAAAAGAATGGCGCACATCGTCATCGAAAAAGGCCGCTCCTCTCTTTGTAACTTGCTTAGGTTGGTTGCGATCTTCGAGTAACTCTTGATGAAACGCTGATAATAACTGGCCAAGCCGAGGAAGGATCGGACGTCCGTCACATTCTTTGGCTCGGGCCACTCCTGGATGGTTTGAATCTTGTCCGCCAATGGACGAATGCCTTCCGGAGAGACAAAATGACCCAAGTATTCAAGCTCTTGCCGGACAAACTCGCATTTGTCGGGGTTAGCGTTGTACCGGGCTGACCGAAGAGTCTCTAGAACATGGCGAAGGTGCTCGAGATGCTCCTCTAGAGTTCGGCTATAGACGAGGATGTTCCAAGTAGACCAAGACGAAGCGGTCCAACATAGCGCGAAACTCGGT